AGTGTGTAATTATGGAGATTTAAATCTTAATACATCGATGTATATCGATTGTGTGACTCTTGTAAATTTTATGCATAGATTGTGTAGTTTTTTGTGTACTTGTATTGTGCGTACTAATACAGATGGAACAAATAGGAGAAAGCAAATATCAAATAATTAATAGGGGTCAAGGGGTATAAATGATGAAAACGAAAAACTTTTATTCTCACAATCTTTCTCTTTTTTTCTTTTCTCTCCGAAGGAGTTCCACATTTGAAAGAGGCTGTAAGGGCAAAGATAAGGACAGTTGTATCAACATGTCGCCAATAATGCTGCGAATGTTTATATCCGGAGAGACTTAAATTCGGATTCCTTACGGTAACACAAGGTCAAGTACAGGTAGGAAAAAAGCGATACAAAACAAAATACGCGCAGCACGTAAACAGCATTATTAAACGTAAATTCGACACTTGCGAGATTCACCTTACATTTCAAGACCGGTATTCGTAGCTGTGAATTATTTAAGACCTTTTTTTGTCAGTGACAGATTCGTATGCACGGACCGCTCAACTGTTTCGATCGATATTTCTTGCCGGTGTAAAATAGATGCAGCTAAAGGGGATGACTGAAATTCATAAATCTATAATTCTCTAATCGTTTGTAACACGATGACAAGCTACGAGTGCTGGCCTAAATTTCGACTCGGGTGCCTCCTCATTCTGAGTGAGACCGTCAAATGTCCGCTCCGAGTAATCGGAAGCGTTCTATGCAACAAATAATTCCACATACCTAGTGTAGTATATGATGTATCGTCGCGTCCTGCGTCCTGCGTCCTGACTCCTAGGTCCAGCATCCCGCTGCTTCGAGTCCTCCATCATGTCACTGACACTGACACGCGCGTAAGTACGATTCGCTCGGAAGAAGAACACGCGTTAAGAAACGTGATTCCGCCCGGTGAAAAATCCTGAGAGTCCACGCGAAAGGACGAAAGTAACTCAACGACGCACGTGGCTCGCGGCGCGGCCGGCGCGGCGCCACGCGTCGCCCCGAAACGTAATGACTCGGGTCACGGAGTAGGTACCCCGGCGTCCGGGAGCTCGACAACAATGGGCAAAAAGGGCCAAATCATGCCCCACTAGTCAGCCATCGTCGCCCGCCAATCAATGGCGCGCACGTGATCTCGTCGGCGGAGAAATCGCAACAGTCAACGTGTTCTTCAAAACGCTCAGCAAGCGCCACTTTCAACCTGCCGACGTTTCCTGCGCTTTTTTCCCGAGGTTATTGCATATCGGGACTAGCTTCTAATGTCTTTCGATGCGCAGCGATCATGTCCTCCGGGTCCGCAAGGCCTGCAAAAGACAAACCGATTATGAGAAGGGGCAGTTTTTGCACTCGACTTCCGGGTTTGTGACGCGGTCACGTGGGTCAACGTGGAGGGGGTCAATGTAGAATTTTGACTCGGGATATTTTACGCGCGCGCATATAATTGCGTGAAATTATCACGAAGAAATGTCTATAGATTGTATTTAGGACGGGAAAATATAAAAAAAAGTTGGACGCTGCGAAATGCTGGGTGAGTGCAAAAGTCTTGATGGATTTTGTGACACAGAAAAATGTGGACTGAATAATCTGATCACAAACAATTCGTTCACTCCGCCAAGTAACCGCCACGGTTCTTTGTATCATCTACACATCTGCATACTTCGAAGTGCTGCCACAAAAACGAATTCGGCCGCGACACCTTTGAGAAACCCATCGAAGCTGCCGCGCTCGCCCGATGTATTTTTCTTCAAAGACCACCGCGGCCAAAATTCAATTACTCGCGATCGTATCGCAAAATTGACCTGCGCAGGCTTTAATTACACCCTGTAATCGAGGCAACGACCGCGCTGCAAGCTGCGGGGATGAAAGCTGCGAGGGCCGCGCGGGAACGTTTAAAACCGTCGCCACTCGCTTCGCCGCCGCGATTGATTAATTTTCCGCGAAACGTCAGCGCGTGTCACGACTACCTTCCTATCCACACACACACACATACACACGCGTGCGCACACGCACACGCTTGGCGCGTCTCCGAGCGTATCTTCAGCGCCGCGAATGTTGCGATTGTCGGATCGCGAAGTCACATTTGCACGTCGCGTAAATCCGTCCATTAACGAGGAAGTGCGTTATGAGCGAGCGAGCGAGCGAGCGAGCGAGCGAGCGCCGAGATTTCCACGGCGCGTTCCGTCGCTCTGAGCTTCCCGGCTTCATAATTCATCCCCGTCTAAGGCTTCCTAATCCTCGCTCCCACGGGGAACCAGTTCGAAAATAGTTTCACGTCCGCACGTCGGCCCGACGACAGAGCCGCGCGAGGACGACGGTCTCTCGGCGTGGCGCGGCGCGGCGCGCCGCGAAGCGCCGTCACTCTCGGAGAGCCGCTTCTTACCTCGCCGAGGACCTGGCCCAAATTTGCACACGAAAGAGGCGCGAGGAGAGACACGGCCGGCGCGTCTAAATTTTCCACGGACTCGGCGAGCCGGCGCTTGCCGCGAAAAATTCCGTGACTCGACCGTGCGTTCGTTCCCTCTCGCGCCCCTTCCCTTGGAAGCCGAACGAGGTTCCTCTGCGATCCTCCTTGGCGCGTTCCGTATTCAAATTTTAGAAGGCGCATGAAAATTGCGCGCGCATGCGCCGATGAGGAAGCGCGGTTTCTATCGAGACTGTGTCAATTTTGACTTCCGACCGCTCGTCCGGTTCATCTTGTCGCCGAGGATAAGTTCGCGATTTTGTCTCCCCCTTTCTTTCTCTGTCATCTCCACTCGCTGCCGCGAGAGTTGACACGCGTCTCTCGAGCGACATCGCTTCCGTTCTCTCGCGAGAAGTTCGCGCCGCTTTCGATGTTCGATTCGATTCGGCGCATGCGGACGCGATCGCCGACGCGACGCCGGCTGAAGTCGAAGGAGCGAATGAAAAAGAAGGGAACGCGGGAGAGAAGGATACTTCGGTTCACCGTGTCAGTGGGTTAACGGCGACGATAAATGAGAGTGAAGTCGATAGGTCGCTCGTGCGCGCGCGGGGAAGAGCGGTAGGGAGAACTTGTGGAAGAGAGAGAGAGAGAGAGGGGGGGAACAGAGGGACGTCGTCGAGGATGTAACAGCTTAAATATATGCCTTTCCATCTTCATTCGCGTGGCTCGCGGCGCCGCACGCGAGAAAACGCGGCGCGCGCCGCGGCCGCGCTTTGTTTTCCCAGCGGTGCTCCGTTTTAATTCGCCGACGCGCGAATATCAACGCGCGGCCGACGTCTCCCTTCCTTTTACGTTCGCTCGCTATTTCGATATTGACACGTCCGTTGCGTAAACAGCCATGAGAATAACGAGGTGCGCACGAGAGAAAGAAAGAGAGAGAGAGAGAGAGAGAGAGAGAGGAGAGCGCAAGACGCTAAAACATGTCGTTAGTCCTTCGTGTTGACACGGCCGTCCTTTGTACAACGCGTTCCACGGATTACACGTCGAGAGGCTGAGGGGTAAAACGTGCACCGCCTTTACGCTCGCCCTTACATCGTCGTCGTCTCCACGCGGCTTCTCCTCCGTGCATCGGGGGATGCTGCGAGAGGACGGGCGGCCCGACGGAACGTCCAGCTGTCGCATTAACAACAAACTCCGCGATGAATTCGGGGAAGGGTAGGGCCAAGTTCTGCCAGAATGACAAGGACAAGGAGGAGGGGGGGGGGAAGGGGGTACAAATTCAGCGGCGAATTCGAGCGACGTAAAATATCTCACGACGAGTGAAACTACAAATTAACATCCCGCGGAGACAAACTCGCGTTAGCGGGAAAAAAATTGAGCCGCTTGTCGGCGAGGGGGTGAAAGAGCGAGGGAGGGGCAAAAAAGATCCGCTGTCTGATGCCGCTTAATTTTCGCTCTTTCGACACACAGCGGAGGGGAAGAAGCGCAGGGGAAAGGGATTGAAGCCGCACGTCCCCGAAACTGAAAGATAGATAAGCGCGGACCCTCCCCCCTCCCCCCGGCGCTCGACATCGGGCGGGCTTAAAATGCCGGCAGGCTTTCGCGGCCGGGTACGCTTTTACAGACGCGCAGACGTAGCTGCATTTACAAGGCATAAAATGATATGTACACGTACGGAGTGCGCACCTTTGGCGTGTCGGTAATCGTATATACCCCCCGTCACCTCCCGTGTCTCTTGCCGTCGTGCTGCCCCCGTCTGCCCCGCCGCCGCCGCCACCGCCGCAGCCGACGACCGGCCGACCGACCGACACCGCCCGTAATGTCTGATCAATGTTGCATGAGCAACCAGTCTGCTACGTGTTCGTCGTACCCTTTGGTCCAAGGATCAAGGCGTCCGCCCGCGTGTCGGCGTCTCCTCTCTTCCTGACGCGGCAACAGCGGCGTTATCGACGAGTTGCGTGCGCGAAGGAGAGAGAGAGAGAGAGAGAGAGAGAGGCCACGCGCGGCCGGCGAGATTTCAGACGTAACGTCAGCCACCGGCGAATAACGACTGAGACTTTATCCTGTTCCCGCGATTATGACAGAACAACGCGATTCCGTCGCAGGATCGTGCACGACGAGAGGCTTCCGCTGAGGACAGAATCTCGAATTGGCCGTTCGAAGGGTTCGAAGGGGTGAGGCTCGCGACTTTAGGAATTTTGCGAAATTCCCTATCGCTACGCGATACACGGGTATTCGAGGGCGCGTGTAAAACTCGCGAGCAACCGGCGCAAGTCCTGATCGCACGCAGGGTGCGTACGTGGCGCGGTTGTGCAGTCCCTATGCGGAGTCGTTGCACGTGAATTACAGCCGCCGTACTTTTAAGTACACCTCGCGTGCGCGCAAACGAGCGATAGGAGCCGCTCGTCGGCGAGGAACGACGGAGAGGGTCCGCGGTGTTTGCTCGGAAAAGCACCTCGCGAGCGGCGCACGACGGAGTGCAACATGTAAGATATCGCGAGCGCCGCGAGCTACGCCGATACGCCTCCCGGAGAGAGGAAGAGAGCGAGCGAGCGAGAGAGCGAGCGGAGAGAGAGGAGAGAGAGAGAGAGAGAGAGAGAGAGGACGCACCGGTGGCGCGTGTGAATCACCGGCAACAACACGCTTGGCAGCGTGTCAAAAGTTTACATAATGAGGAATAAAAATAAATGTATGGCGAAACACGACGAGAGAGAGAGAGAGAGAGCGAGCGAGCGAGCGAGCGCGGCCGCGCGAATATCTGGACGCGGAAGCACACATGCGGAATTAGCGCATCGATCTCAAAGAGCCCTTATTATAGACGCGCGGCCTCTCGAAATAAGTCTCGCGCTCTCCGGACTTGCGAGAGAGGACAAACAGGAAAGAGGGAGGGAAAGGGCTTAGGAAAGAAGAGAGAGAAAGAAATACTCGACTTCGAGTTTTGACGTTAAGGAAATCGCTCGGGGAGTAAGAAGTCCGCCGTTGCATCGTAAAACGAAGCTGAAGGATAGTCGCGGAAGAGTGACGACCGGAGAGAGAGAGAGAGAGGAGAGAGAGAGAGAGGAGAGAGAGAGAGAGGAGGAGGAGGAGGAAGAGAAAAGAGTGCACCAGGGGCGCTCCTCAGTTTCTCTCTCCTTCTCTCCCTCTCCCCCCTCTCCCTTCCTCCCCCTCTTTCTCCTCTCTCTTCCTCTCCATCTTGCTGGATGTTTGTTCATTTTTTTCCACTCCGCGCTTGTACGCCCTCCGCCCTGCCGCCCCTCCCTCGCGGCCGTGGAGTGCCCCCCTTTGCCCGTTACTCCCGCCAACCCTCCCGCCCTCCCGCTCCTTCCTTGGGCCGGAGTAAGGACGGGCATTGACCTCCACGCGGTGTATGGAGCGCTGCACCGAAATACATCGTTGTTGCTCGCACATGCGTCCCCCTCCAGCCCTTCCCCCCTCTTTCATACCCTCTCTTTCTCTTTCTCCACCCTACGCGCGTCCTCTCGTCTCTCGCTCTCCTCGCCTCAGGGCGCGCGCGGAAAAACCACACCAAGGGCGTGAACGCGCCGAAAAGCAGATCTTTGCAATAACGCGCGGCGTTCGGCATTGCCGTTGCCGGGATCGTTTGTTCGGCCGAAGAGATTGAGCAGCGACCGTGCTCGCATGACGATTCTTTCCATTTCTTTCCGGAGTCACCCGGTGGGGTCGCGCTCTCGCCGCTGCTCGTCGTGACGATCGAGCGCGCGATTCGCCGATACCCGCTAAGTAAGTCTGAAAACGACCGCGGCCTGTTCGCCAAAGTATCGAGTCTAAACTAATGAATGGACGAGACTCTCCCGACCATGCAATTATAGTCGGACGCGGAAAAGAGCCGAGGCAAGCTCAATCGCACGCGCCGATAACACAAAGATTTAATCCCGCCAGCGC